GGGGCATAGAAAAAAGGATTGACACTTCATTATCCTTTAAATATTGGCAGGGGTGTGACAGGGTGCACCTGCTGTCTCTTCAGTCCCTTTTCAGAGTCAAACACAGACGAATGGGAGTTGCTGAGGTTAAGACCTATAAGCTAAAACAATACCTGAAAACCAATGTAGGCCAAAATAACCAATAAAAGACATTTATAGCGCACAGTCAAACCAGAAGCGCATGCCGTACAGCTCAGCAACAGCTTAAATCCACTTAGTTTTATAAGACCACATCAATGATAACACCCTCTCTAAAGAATCAAATTTTTAATCCAGCCTTTGCGGCAAAAAATAAAGTGTCTGCAGCTCTGTTGGACAACAGAGGCAAAATTGGCAGAGGTATTGAGAGGTTCCATCTATTTTGCTTCATCATTAACTGTATGATTTTCTTTTGTTTGAATATGGGCCATACATACTCTTTGGGGAGTAACATAATGTGGAAATACTTGTGCTTTCTTATCTTCTATGGAAACTGTTGCAGGGATAGTTAATAGAAAATAGAACCGGAAACAAATTAGGAAAGAGTTGATTGGATATGTGAAGGTTCTTCCATTTAATCTTGCACTTCATTTTATACCAGCGATTTTAAGATTGAATTACATGTTAATCTCAGTGAGAGGTCAGAATGTAGAAAGATATTGCATTTCGATATTGCACATGCCACTGTGCGGATCTCGCCAGAAATCACTTTTCTTTTTTTCAGAAATGTCCTTCCTCGTGTTGAATGCCTGGGGAGTCTCAGTTTTGTTCGCATTCCTTATAAAAATGATTTTCACCCAAAAAATGTATTTCAGTAAACAGGTAGGAAGGCAAGGAGACAAAAAAAACAACAACTGGGATGTAACAAGCAAGGAATCTTCGCGGCTTACAAACTGAGGGACCAGAAAGGTCTTGAAGTCTTTCAGAGAATAAAAGGAAACTGAAGCGCTACATCCGCACAAAAGTAGCAATGTTGCAAATGCAGCAATGCACCTGAAAGTATTATCTCTAGAGCATTTTCAGCAAAAACAATAAGGTATACCTTTCAAACAATACCAAAAATGTATTTATTTTAACTTTAATTTAAATAGTGTTATATTTTCATGTAGTCACTGATTTTCTACCATTATTGCTAAGGTCTGTTTTATGAAAGATAATTAAGTAAGAGTTAAATTACATTTGTGTTACAAACTGGAAAACAAACAAACAATTGATTTGTTTCAAAACTCAGATTTTATTTTTAAGCTTTTTAGGATTGTGGGTACTTTGTATTGTATAATCTAAGTGAGGAAATGATGTATGTAGTGATTATTGTTGCACACATAAAAATATAGAAGTGAACAGTAAAATGTGTTTCCTGAAACCAAATCAAACATAAAGGTAATGTGTGTACACATTCAAAATAATAGTTTAATTAATTTAATAGTTGTAATTCATTGAAAAAAGTACAAATTTTCCAAATTGTTAGTATAAAGTCAGAAAAGGAGTATAATATTATTCAGCCTGCTTTTATATTCGCGTACACACCTCATTTACAGTAAGTATGAATATACTTAACTTATACATGATTGTATGTGATGATGCATGCATCATCTTTTCTAGTCTGAAACAATATGATTATTAACAGAAATTGTTTCTGCAGATGTCAAAGAAGAACAGACGAACTGATTAACGGCTCTCTACTTAAATGAGATCAAATAACAGTCTCAGCATGGGTAAGTACATCACTACCCAAAAATAGTTCTTTTGTCTCCGTGGTTTAAAATAATTTCACATTTTAGCTCTGGCAGGTGTTTGCCAGTTCACAATTTAAAAGCAGCATGTGAGGCAACCTTCAACAAGTCAATTTTCTACAATTTACAGGAATGAATAGCATTTGTTGATGACATTACAATAGAATCACTATATGGGTTTTTGTGGCAATTTAGGACAAAATAAAAAAAACATTAACAAAGTAATTTCAGAAGGAGCAACAGCCTCTACCCTCTGGTTAGTGTGTACACTGCTCCCTCTACTGGTAAATAGGCAGTGTTGTGTTTGAGGCAGCTGTTGCACTCTTAACATTTAAACAGCAGCTGTGAGAGGAGAAGTGACCCTGTTACATATTTTGAACATTTCTGATAAGTGTAAAAGAGGTATACAATAAAGTTAGCCAAATTTTAGCCACGGAAAATTATACAATTGAGGAAACATGAAAAAAAAAAAATACAAATTGCAACAGCAGGTAATTCAATATGTTGGTTATTGAATCTCAAAATATATTCCAGCACAGTCCAGGCAGGTTTAGGGGCATTTGTTAATTCCTCCTCATAATCTGCTGAGGTGAGTTAGCGTTTCATGGGCTGACGAACCTGAGATTGAGCTTGAAATCACCATTCTCAGGTTGGACAGTCCTAGAAAGAACCACTCAAGTGTTAAAGCCGGACTTCAGACTCAGTACACAGTGTCTACGATGAGCGCAACTTTGACAAAAACAAAATCACTTGAATAAAAATTAATATGTCTGTGATGAGTCCTGTCCAGACGCGTTTACACATCTGTAAATGTGCACCTTCTGGGTGATGCGCTGGTGGGTGTTAGTGTTTCCTGCATAATAAAAAATTTAAACTGCATAAAAGTCAACTTTGTGGTACCTATGGAAGAGAAATGGTATAATAAGATAATACTGTTGGCCACATCATGTTGGTCAGCAACTTTGCTAATTGCCATCATGCGAAGGCTGTATTTTCTGAAGGGATTACCCTAAATGTAATAACAGTATCTGCTAAAATAAGCTGTACTGCAGGTTTTTAATTTTTTTTTACCAAAATAGACTATTTTATTGATAATGTGTTGTAAAGTTATTAAACAAATCCAAGCATCCATAATGTACAATTATTTAGATTCACAGATGTTAGGATTTTGGCGCCAGAAACAACATTCATTGAGAATAAAACTGTTACACACAAAATACAAATACAATTCATTGCCAGTGATAAAAGTAAAAACTGGGATTTTCATTCATTCTGGTTATATAATTACACTTCTTTTAAAAGAAAAAAAAATCTGAATCTGTAGTCTATAGGGAGGATCCAGATGCTGTGCCTATTGTAAAATATCATATCTCATTCATCTAATGACATCCTACAATGGCTGCAATTTAAATGCATTTAAACGACATATCTGGCTCATGTTTAGTGCACATTTTCTCATTCAGAAAACTCTGAGCACCATATAAGAAGGTTAACACCACGTCTGGCTCTCTGTTGTTAGCTAACCTCAACTGAAACCACTCAGAAAACACTCACTGCCAACGGAGCCTAATGCACAAACTGCATCTCATACTAAAAACATGTAAATCAACCCGGCCTGACTTTATGAGAACAGGCCAGTCTCTTAGAAAGGGTTCTCTCGTGATATAGAGAGCACAGAAGAACACACACACACACACACACACACACACACACACACACACACACACAGAAAGAGAGATTGAAAGGAGAAGGAGGGAGAGGAAAGAATACTTTACCCTCTTCACATGATTCAGAAATACTTCACTGTCTGAATTATTTATCCTCAACTATCTGCATTGAGCCACTGTACTGTGTTGGCCTACTCACTTTACTAATTTAATTTACAATACACTCACTGCCAGATAGCACATTAACCAGACAAATAACAACCATACAGACATAGCTACTTTCCATGTTTCCTCCCTTTCAACAATCATTGCAACAATGGAGGACTGTGGCAAGTTTGTGAAGGCTCCTCTCTAAAAGCTTTCAAAAGTCTCCTCTGCGTACTTCTTACCCACATGGTAGACCCTCTGTCTCCTCAGGCCCAGTCGAAGGTCAGGCAGGGAAACAGTCTTTATCACGTGAAGTCAAGACCCAGAAGAAGGCACACAGGAAGAGAGCAGAGCAACCTGGAGCAGAAGCTAGTGAGGATGAAAAAGAAACACAGGTCGCTGAGTTAAAAAAGGCCACTCCTGCTGTCTTTACTAAGCCGTGACCTCATCATGCTCTGTGCTACCAATGGGGATGCAACTCACACACAGACACACCACCTTCCTGTTTGTCATTGCTGGTGGTAAACTTTCCACTGACATCTCCATTCAAAGGACCAATGTGAGGTTTTCATGCATTTTGTCATAAAAAAAAAACAAACATTAAACTGAAATAAGTCTATTTAGGCAAATGCAACCTTGCAATCATGCAATGGAAGATGTAACTCATTTGTGTGTGTGAGAGACAGAGAGAGTAGAAGGAATAATACAAAATGGTATGATGATTGTGAATAGCAGGCAAACTTTTGAATGTATTGTAAATTTAAGCCAATCAGCAAATTTAATTAACTCATTATATAACATTCGAATCAATAGATAGCCATTATAAATGTTGCCGAGAAATAAATAGCTTTCAAATCTGTGACAGCCACATGTTTAACACTAGACAAACTAGAGCAGCACGAGAAGAAAAATACTGCTGCTGAGTTTCCTGATATTCTTAGCTCGTGCACGTCTTTTGCCTGTCCTCTTCATACCCCCCCACCAGTAAAAGACGCCTCTTGGGGGTCAATATCGGCCTAACAGGCTGCCGGTTTGAAATTGTCCATCAGCCTCGTCAAATGAGTGTCAATCATACTTTACCGTGGCCGGCGTCTTGACAGCTGTCAGAGTGATAATTATTATGGAAAGTGATGGAAGATGTCAAGGTTCCTTTCCATAAGAGGACAACCACAATATCCTTCCTGTTCATTTTCAAAGTGTAGGTGATTTCTGTCTGTCTTGAAATGGTTGATAAAGGCAAACATATGCGGGTGATTCAAAGAGGGTGAGAAGTTTACTTTCAGTGCTAGGAGGTGTGTTTTACTAACCCTAACTAAAGAGTATTTCCATATGAGCTGTGACTAAGATATGCTCTCTGATTAAGTGGGACAGAGCTCGCTTAACTCTAAAGGACACAATTCACATTTGACATAAATAAAAAAAAATGCACTGTGAGCAATTTAAAAGCTCTATTGCACTTTATTAAATATATAAAAAGAAAACATGCAGCAGAAGTGGTAAACACAATTGATGGATTTCCAGTACAGAATTACTCACTAACAGTTGTATTCAGCAGTAAGTACATACTGTACTGTAGCAGGCGACTAAATGAAAAAGTAATGGTGAGCCAGCAGTAGTAACAGTACTTGTAGCTAATGTGGCTACAGGTTGCACAGAATGACATTTTCAATATGTTTTATTTCTTTTCCCCCCACTTAATGTTGTACATGTCCGTTTCTTTCCAAATGTCCAATAAATGTGTGTCAAAACAGATATCTTTTATTTGATTTTTTTTTACAACTAATCCATTGAGATCTGTATAATAATAATAATAATTAATTGTGAACTTGTTGAAGAGAACATCATATTTATGTACCTCACGAGAGAAGCCACTACATACTGAAATCAAAATCAAAACAGTCCTCTCCTTGTGATGTCTCGTTGTATCAGTTCAAATAACCATGTGGGAGAATGTATTGTGGAGTGCGACCCAGTGTATGGCGTAACTGTCAACATTTTTCAACAAAGAACAAGGCAATATCAAATAGGCACCAACTTTAGCAGACGGGTCTCATTCATTTCAATACTGTTACAAAGTAAAAAGCTCAGGCACTGACAGGAGTTTGTGAAACACTACACCTTTTGACATGTAGATGTTCTGAGTTCATACGCATCCTCAATGCAACAGCCCTTTTTTAAACAAACAATCCCATCTACTGCATACAAAACAGGAGGCATAAATCAGGACGTGTGAGACTGAAAAAACAAACACTTAATCTGTGTTTGTTAAATGCAGATGACCCATTTTCAGAGTAGCAAAAAGATGTATGACTTGCCTGCTGACTGGTCAGATCTATCCATAGTAAAAATATGTAAATGAAGGACATGCTGCATAAATATACACCACAAGTGCATACTTGTATAATAATGAAAAACGATTTTCAACACCCGTTTCAACTGGTTAGGTCAGCATCCACAGAGAAGGAAAGGGGTGAACCAGAGCTATAAAAAAAGACAGATACACCTACACATTTTCCGATTGAATGGTCCTTCAGAAAGTGCTCATGGCGATGGAAGTTGAGCAACATGAGTTCATGTTCTGATTTAACTTTTGTGAAAGTTGTGAGGAAGGTATGTGGAAAATAAAGCTTGACTTTTTTTCTTCTTTTGCCGCACGTGCAAATTCACATTCAGTTGTGTCGTCCACAGTTCACGGCTTAAGGCTAGATAAATCTTTCCAAAACAACGTGCCTCCAAATTTCGATACGGTGATAGTCAATTTAAACACTAAAATAAAATATTTGGACTTAATAACATACTGTACATATAAAAATATTTTAGACCTCATAACATAACTTTCCACAACAGCATTTACATTAAATAAAATACTATACTTTACATTTTCAGCAAGGTGACTGTACATTTTTTATCCTGTTTATTTTCTCAGGGCACCTTGTTTGGCCCTTGAAGGACACAGGTTACAGCCCAACAGAGGCAACAAATATGTCCTCATATTGTCCTACGAATCACCTAATGAGTTAGCACACAGCCAATAATTTAATCAGTAACTGGGCTCATCCATCTCTTCGTCGCTCCAGTCAGGGGGTGCGTCAGTTCCAAAGTATCGATCTCCGAAGTTTCCTACAAGAACAAAAAACATAAGTTAACATCAGTTAAAACTGGAAAATCACAGTTGGCATCATGTGTTGATCGAGCATGGCATGTGGGTAAAAAAGTCTATATAATGCAATAAACGGCATATCTTATAATAAAAAAATTTCACATATCTGTGTGTCTCTCATCATCATCATCATCATCATCATTACTCACCTATGCCAGGTATGATGTGGAAGAGATCATTGACCTTCTTGTCAACAGCTGTGGTGATGATTTTGACCTGAGGGAATGCATAGGCCACTGAGTGGACCCCCATTTCTGCCATTAGCAAAGACACCAGCAGGATCTTGTCCTCCTGAACATCATGGTCCTGAAAATGAAAACATGGCCATGAAAATAGGCTACATGAGGAATGCAATTCAATGGACTTGTGAACCATCAGGCGCACTCACCAGTAGGACTCGAACAGCCATCATGGCAGCAGCTCCAGTGGACACAGTGCAGTCCATTAGAATCACATGATCTTCACTCATGTCTTTTGGTAGCCGCAGGTAATGAAGCTGAAAATGTTTATACATAGGGTGCGGGTGAATACCAACATGTAATATACATAACCAGTATCATCCTGTAGCTATATCATCGCTGGCATAATGCAGAAATCCCCAAATCTGATAGTTTCCTGGAAAGGGCATGTAGATGAGCAGAAAGTATTATGCAACAAGAAGAACATGCTAAAGATATTTAAAGAATGTGTTAATATGTGAATTGGCAAGGTTGTTTAAAAGTTGCTATATTTAGAACAATAAAGGTGTTTGTAGGACAAATGTGGCTAAATGTCCATCCATCCATCGTCAACCGCTTATCCTGCGTACAGGGGGCTGGAGCCAATCCCAGCTGCCATTGGGCAAAAGGTAGGGTACACCCTGGACAGGTTGCCAATCCATCGCAGAGCCACACATAGACAAACAACCACTCACACCTAAGGACAATTTAGGGTCACCAATCAACCTAGTCTGCATGTCTTTGGATGGTGGGAGGAAGCCGGAGCACCTGGAGAGAACCCATGCAGACGCATGGGAGAACATGCAAACTCCACGCAGAAACCCACAACCTTCTTACTGTGAGGCAATAGTGCTAACCTCTGCACCACCGCGCCACCCGTGGCTAAATGTGTTACACATAACATATACAGTATAACCCCATAGCCACAATTTAAACCTGTACCTCTGGTTCTCCTGTGTCCTGGTTGGTCTGGATGAGGATCTTGCCGATGCGGACGTCTTTGCAGACGGCCCTCAGAGCCGGCTCCATGGTCTCCCCGGCTCGCAGGATGGACACGCCTGTGATCTAAAGAAAAAAAATTAACAGAGGTTAATTGCATCAGTTTAGGTAGAGACAAAACTCTTCTGAATGGTCTTTAAAATAAAATTGAAAAAAACAGAGTAGACAAGACGGCAGGAAGTAAATGGAGTTCACTCACCCTCTTCCCGTGGAAAGCCCGGCCTTCATAATCCTCTCCCTGGGGGGTCTGGACTATGTGGGCCTGAGATAATATTAAAAAGCATAACAGTGTGAGTACAATGCTGATCACAGCGCTATACTGTGCTACAGAAGTCAGAAAAATAGTTTGTGATCAGCTACAGTGAATTTCAAACTCTCGGTCACATGTGTAATGCAAACCTGTATGTTATGGTTTAGTTATGGAAACTTTCCATTGTGGTGACTTGACAAGTTTCCATGCTCATGCTGCAGGCCACTATGTTTATGTCTATCTGATTATCTCTTTAGCAAATGCAAGCACTTACTCTCTAGGTTGAACTTGCATTGTGCTACTGTATGTTCTCTTTCCTACTCCTCTCGCTCCCCTCTCCCATTCTCTCTCTCATCCCACCCAGTTGAGGCAGATGGCCGCCCGCAGTTTTCCTGGTGCCACTGTCCCCAAATGCTTGCTCATGGTGAGAACTGTTGGGTCTCTGTAAATAATATTATAAAGAGTACAGTCTAGACCTCTGCTCTAAGTGCAATGAGATAACTTAAAATAAGATAACTGAACTGAATAGAATACTCTTTTATGCCATTTCCCCATTTTAAGACCACATAATGTACTGCATCTCACTCTGTTGCTGTGTCTTGTCAGCTTCTGTCTATCCAGCAGGTATCTCACCTACACGTCTCCATCTACGAGTCAATGTCCTACTTATTACAAAGGGTTACAGAACCATCAGTGCTATAAATTAATTAACAGTGTATGTTAGTATTTCGCACCTGTGAGGGGAGGAAGGAGAGCGCTCGCTCAATCAACAGACGCATCAACCTCTTTGAATAGAAGATGAACTCATCCCTGCTGGTTTCTTTGTTCCTAAATGTGGTCATTAGAAAAGAAAGATACATTATTTATAGTGGTGGTGGCTGCTGTTGTTAATGTAACAAATCAGGTTTCTCAGCTTATACCTGATGATGGTGTGCATGCCCCTGACTTGGGGTGTGCTCTCCAGAACGCTGAGGGTCTGGGGGAGGGGTTGGGCCTGGTGTGCAGAAGCCAGGGCTGCCCTGTAACCACGGCAACAAATAGTAGAGCGCCAGCAGTGCAGGGTGAGAGGAGCAGAAAGAGACAAGATGGACAGACACAGGAATACAACACACATGAATATAAGTGCAATTAACACTTCTCTGCACTTGTGTACAATACCTACTGTGTGCACTTTCAGAAAACAAACACACACACACACACACACACACACACAGACACACACAAGTGTGTAAGTACATGCAAAAAATCAAGACAAATAACGTTTTCAGTTAGAGCAAAGTTGAAAATGGTAGTGTGTAACCATTGTAATATGATTGCTTGGGGAAAAAGCAGACACACAAAATTGCAAAGCACACAGCGCCAGTGTTGAGTACTTCAATGGAAAATTACAACAGCACAGAGACCATGATGATGGAAAAAAAGCTAGACGGTTTTGTGGAAATGTCAAGAATTATAAAATAATAATAATATAATAATGAAAAAGATATGGATAGAATGGATAGAAATAAAAGAAAATTTCACCGTGTTATATAAAGAAATGCTTGGTGGGTTATTTTCCATGATAGGTCTCCACTACTTGTAATAATTCCCTGGGACTCCACACATCAACATTAGGTTTGAATATCTTGTTAGCCTAGGTCTACCCTGGGCTCTATAGAGGAAGAGACACACTGTTACAAATACTCAGTGATGCAGTCATGTAGACACTACAGACTATCCACGATGTCACTGAGATACACATTAGCCAGATGCAAAGAAAAGAGAAATCATAGCAAATGTGCTCACATATCCCAGCGAAGTTTCCTCTATGGGGAGAGTTTTTTTCGACGAAACACAACAACAATCACAACAGAGGGGACACAGAAAGACGAAACACAACAGATAAGAGGAGGAAAAAATTAGAAGAGACACAACATCAGGTGGATGAAGGGATGATCACACAGTGAAAAGTGTGACAGCTGAGACTTGAAAATGTCAAATGTCTCTGAAATACGCTTACTGCTGCGGTAAACTGCCATTAAAAGTCAATTAATATTTCCTGTTTATCAATTAGTACATGTATCATGACTCAGAGAAGACATGAAGTAACAGGCCATGCTTTAAAACATCTGTACAGATGCCAAGAGAGAAGAATCATGTTTTGGATCAGATTTTGATATCTATATGCGTGCATCCATAGTGTGTACGCGTGGGAGGTGCACAAGCTATCGTGCGGCTGTCACTCTTTCAACGGGTAGAACAGTAGAGGTTGGTATTTCAGCTCACAGGCCCCAGCACATCCTGTGTCTAAAGACAGACATCAAGCTCACTTCCTCTCTCTCTCTGTCTCAGATACTGTGGCCGACATTCAATGGAAAAACTCAACGCTTTGTAGTAGGGTATTGGAAACTTTCTCTGTGGCTGAGGTATGTGATAGTCAACAATAGCTGTAGCAAGAGCTTCCTCTCTTGCGCTTTCTGTTATAGTCACTCTCTCTCTTTTTTTTGTTACCGCTGAAAGGAGGGGTCAGTGACTTGACTCATTGGCATATTTTTAGACACAGAAGGCAGGAAGAGTGTGAGTTGTCATTTCTCTAAAAGGTAGTGAGAAGGAAAACCAACGTCTTTACATTAATGCTGGCTGCACCACACCACATCAAAACGTTTGATCTTCGTTTTACTTTCAAATGTTGACAGTGGCTATCATGCAGTTTTTATATTTATTCCATGCTGGTGTGGACTTCATCTTTACAATATTTTGGCACAGTCTCATGCTCTTTTGACTGTTCACTAATTGGGCCTATTTGCTCTACAGATACAACAGTGCCGCCTGGTGATGTGCCATGGCAGCCAGCAGATCAGTGGAAGGTAGAGGTTGGCTTTGCTGGCTTCTTTTCCTCCCTCTTTCCCAATAAGAAGTGGGAGCAGTTTGGGGAACTGGACAGATGGTGAAGAGAATGATAGACAGGATAAAGGCCACTCTACCTGACGCTGAGCTCGCGCTGTGAGCCACGGAGGGATTTGGGGTGGAGGTGGTGGGAGAGAGTGAGAGAGAAGTCCATCAGCAGCGTGTGTGTTAATGTGTGTGTATAGTGGGGAGCAGCAAACTGCATTATGGCACAAAGTCAAAACAGCGCATTCTGGTTCAGTACCGAAAGGCTTATTATTAAAGAGAAAGCAGAATTAACCATGGATTTATAAAAGGGCTGTGCAATTAACGGCACATATTTGTGTATCAAGATTTAATTGTTCCATAATAATAAATGTGTGATATTTTCAAAACTTAAACCTAGAAAATGTTGCTATGGATGAATATCAACTAGGGATTAACACTGTTAAAACAGTTAAAAAGTTCCCTTTCAAATAAATAAGCAAAATTTTATCAGCTTCTGAAGGCCGTGACAGAAAAAGTTTAAGAACCACTGACCTAACTCTTGAATGCATATTTAAAGGGCTATACTCACATTCATAACAGCTGGACTTATTGGACATCTTTAAAAAAGGGAGTGTCATAGAATTGAAGAACTACTACTTAATAAAATAATCTATTTATATCTATTTTTTCCATTAAAGTTTACTTTGTACTTGCCCGGAGTACTCATGCACATTCTTCCAGTCCTAAGTGCAGTGCATTTTCTATCCACTAGAGGGAGCTTGTAATCCCTGACAAAAAAATTGCAATTGAGTAGGTTGCAACTTTCTGAGAGCAACATCCCTACATTAGACTAAATATCCTTTCAGCTAAAGTAAGACATACTGAGTCAGAAACCAAATACAAAAACTAATAACATCAAGAATGAAGAATAAAGGGCCATAATACTCAACATGTATTGTTAAATTGGCATGGCACATTTTCTAGATATGAGTGTGTGTGTATGCAGGTCTGTACGTGTGACCTATCTTACCTCTTCCAGCTGACTGTGAACATGCTGCACGATCAAATCAATGGCCACCATGTTGCCACCACCTGATTGGACGACAAACAGAAAAGCATGATGTTAATTTGGAATCATGGGAGTTTGAAAACATACAGTGACTTATTTAGTGTACTGCAGTAAAACAGCAGTAAATGCATGAAAATATGACTAAATTCCAACACAGGATATTTGGATAGTTACTGAACTGTTGCACTGTTCATTGAGTTTATTACCTTTTTTATTACTAGTATAATACTAGCTGTTAAGTAATATTGAACATGTATAGATGTAAATATGTGTGTATGGAGTATGCACGCACCACGTGGCACCACAATATCAGCAAGGCGCATGGTGGGTTCAATGTACTGCTCAAACGCTGGCTTCACAAACTTGTTGTACTGTTTGATGACACCCTCTATGTCTCTTCCCCTCTCTGTAATATCTCTCCTCAGCCGACGCACCAGCCGGATGTCCGAGTCTGTGTCCACAAAAATCTTCATGTCCAGCAACTGACAGGAGAACGTGAAGAAAATGTTAGCTGGAGACAAAGCTTTATAACACACATTCACACAAAGACAACATGTAAAATATTTAGCTTCTTCATGGTGTTTTAGGTCAGTTCAGCATTATTTTACTTACAATTGTGTTATGATATATCCATTATGTCAAGACATTTATTTTAAAGCTGCATTTTACTGTGCTTGAAATTTAAATTTTCTTTTTTCCGTGACAACAAGTGTGAAATGCACAGGAAAAATGTAAAAAGTTAAAATCTTTTGAAATAAATGAACACAGCGGAGCCGCTGGTGTGGTGACACTTAACCTTTTTTACCCAGCACTTTATAACATTAGCTATATGTTTAACATACTTCTGTCCTGAAAGCAAGATTAAAGGGCCAATATGTTTTTATTTAGACAAACTGCAGCTTTATTCACATTCATTCAAGCACAATATGTTATTACCTGTGATATGAATCAACCTTCAACAGCTCTTGAAAACATTAACTTTGTTGTATTAGCTTGTGTATTAAAGTTGCCGTAGAATGGAAAAAAACTCTGGGATGTTCATGCTCCCAAACTTACATAGACCAGCCCATGTTCCAGAGAAGCAGTCGTACAAGCTCATATCAGTTGTGGGTTGTGCAGTGCAGTGTGTCTCACAGAAAGCACTTTTACGGTTATGAAAGGTGAATATTTTTTGGTTCCCTCTGATGTCCTCTGACTGCTCTGCCTCAACTCTGTGATTTATGTTTCCTGATAGACAGATAGCTTTATTTGTTGCTAAGGCTACAGGTTGCTAACTACTAGCTGTTGCTAACAGTAGCTCTTGTTATCAGCTTGCTCTGAACAAGTGGTCCAAAGCTTCTGTACTAATGTTAGAGGTGTAAACACCAACACCTGGAGCACCAAGCTTCTAGTTCGGGCAGAATCAGCAATAGGATGGCTAGCTGCATGGCTAACTGAGTAGCTAACTTAGCAGCAGCTCCTGATAGCAGTAGTTAGGTGCTAAAGTAACCAGTAACATATACTCTTCGTAAATTGGCAAATATGGAGGCAGAGCAGCCAGAGGACATAAGAGGGAAAACCGGACAATATTTCTCCATCAAATCTAATCCAGTTTCAGTAAAACCAGAGAATACAGCCTTTAAAACACCTGCCAATCAATTTGGAAGTACTGGCTAAAGGATAAATCCATTAAATAAGTGACATTTTACAGTTTCTAAATCACTTCAAACATCATATTTGGCAAAAGATTTGTTTTGCATACAACACTTGTTGGTGAAAGTGAATAAAACTAAAAAAAGTTTCCTCCCACATATACACAGAAAAACCATGTTTTACCACATGCAAAGATAAAAATAAACTTGACACCAGCACCTTCCACTGACTAGCTGTACATGTTAGAGGACAATAACCCATACCTGCAAGAGCTTTTTATCTGCGAAGGACATGATTCCCTCGAAGATGATAACACTGGCTCCATACACGGTTTTCTGTGGAGGACACGCATGCGTGTAGAATTACAGTACAATGTACATATACAGTACATGAACATACAGATAGTAGACACCTAAATATATGCAACACTCATCATGATCAATCAGCATTTGACAGGTTCCACTGATGAGAGAATGTAGTTAATGGACATTAAAGTATACTGTGACAGAAATCTCAATAATCGTTTGTCAGTGAACATCTGGAGTAGCAGATTTGCAAGGTGACTCTAAACATCTAGCAAGGGAGAATAAACCCTTCTTAGGTAATCAAGAAACTGAGATTATATGCTGACATGTTACTCATTAACTTACAAATGCATTACCATGTGTTTGGGTTTGTGCGTTCATCCTTACCCACTCCTTCTGTCTCCCATGAGTTGTAAAGTCATATACTGGGATTTTTACACTCTTGCCCTGTTTGAGTTTATGCAGGGTGTGTGTCAGCAAATCAAAGTCAAATGCATCAGGGTGGTCAAAGTTATAGTCGTTACTGGCAGCCAGAGTCTGCTGTTCTGGGGACAGGACCTGAGGATCAACAATGTTGGAATTACTTTACAGCAAACTTGCCACAACAATGACGCTTTAACCAAGCACAACAAAAACGACATGCTGAGCAAAATACTTTCTGTGTTATTAAGTTTCTGGCTTTTTGATTACACATGCATAAATATTTGCATATCAAGAATAAAAAAACGGACTGATAAATCCATTTTACATAAAAAAAACATTGTAATAAAACAAGTGCACATGCTCCAATAATTGTTTGGCACATAATTTAGCTAAGTTTTTGCAAAAACATTTGGACATTTGGAGATCACTGTTCAAGAGCAGTTGAAGTTAGGGGACCTAAATTTAGGAGAACATCATGTGCCGCTGTGACGTCTGTACCAGGTGGCGTGTGTGTGTGCGTGTATGCCCTGAGGGGTACCCCAGATCTGGTATTTGGCAGTTTCAGAACAGCAACACCCACTTCTCAAGTGAACTGAATACACACTTAATATGATAAACTGGTGTAACAGGCTTTTGGGGGCTGTGAGCAAAAATGAGGAGATCCCAACACAAGAACAGGATGTATGAATTTAAAGCCATAAATTCTAGATGAAATGTTTCAAATGCCGACCTCTGGTACTGCAAGTTTGGTGAGGGCCACAGCACAACTGGCCAATCGTAAATCCGTCCTACTCTGCACAGTGTAAAACGCTGCTGTCAGAATGTGACAGACTTACATAACCAGAGAGTGGGTGGGGAGGTATATAGGGGCAAAATGATGGCTCTTGCATGATTGCTTTCCACCACACTTTTTCTCTCCCCAATTCGCTCACCACTGTGCTTCTCTTTTGTATTCTCTGCCTTCTAATATTTTCTCCTTTGTGTCTCCTTTCTCTCCAGGCACTCCTCTTATCCTCATTTTCCCTCTGGGATCCAAGGGCAATCCTATTTTCTCTCTTTCACTCTGTCTTCTGCACTCAGCCTCAATCTTTTCCGACCCTGCCTTCAGGCCTCTGGGGGGTTAGCAGTTACGAGACAGAGATGAAGTAATAATAAAAGGAATAAGTGATTTATGCTGCCAAGATTGTAATTGCTAGAATCTAAAGGCATTTAGACAAATCTAAAAACATGCACAAACGCATCCAATATCTTAACCTCACATTATAACGTTTATATACAGCTGCGTGGCTGCATGCAAATGGTCACACGCCATCAACATAAAACACACATACAGCAAACACATGCCCACCTTGTAAAAAGAGTCCATGGAGAGTAGTACAACCCACGGAACATCCAGAGCCTCAATGATTTTCCTGGCTACGGTTGTCTTTCCTGAAGCGCTACCGCCACACAAACCTGTGACAGAATATTGACATAAAGACTTTAATAAGTAATGTTTGCATTAGGTTTGGGATTTTTCTACAAAATTTCCATCGGAAGATGTCTACAATGAAACATCGGGATGGACAATGTCATTGGGTGCACACGCAGGGGGCAGCAGTCTTATGTGCATGTGTTCTCGCGCAGACTTCACTCGTAAAAAAAAATTGGTAGACTATTAACTTACGTTACAAGTCGCGGTGGATATTTTAGGCACGGACCAGGTAAAGCAACAGTGAACACAGATGTTGGTTTCAGTTGTTTGGTAGGCTACGACATTAATAAGCCGACGTGCGGCTCACCTGCAGCCGTGATAACTGATTGCAGGTGGAAATATACGGAAATAAGACGAGTTCTCAGTCTTTTATGTGGCTTTATAAAACATACTGTTGAAGGAGAAAATGTAGCAGAAGGGGGGAGAGAGAGGCGGGGCAAGCCAGGGTGAAGGTGTTTCATAGTGTGGGGAAAAGCATACTTAAAAACAATAATAAGAATGTTCGTGGTCATTAAAACCTGCTTTCACAGGGTGGTATAATGTGAGAATTTGAGATTTGTTTTGCTGGGGGGGGGGGCTTTTACAATCACGATGCAGGCTCAACGTCGCGATGTCTGTCAGCCATCGCCCAACCCTAGTTTGCATACATGTTTAATTGTAAAAAGCACAATTAGGGCCCCAAGCATGAAACATGTGAGGACCCTATTGGAAATGAAGGAATCATTTTTTTTTTTGTACAAATTAATTGTGTTTTTTATGGCCTAAACATGCTCATAAACTCACAAAACTTTGCACACACATCAGTCGGGGCGGACAATTCCTATTTTATAAGTCTCGCACATGGGCGACCCCTACAGAGCAGCCCCCGGGCAAACTTGCACATAAATGTACAAAGTTTCTGTGTACATGTATGATGTCCTAGAACACATCCATATGCATTATTCAGTTATAGTCATAGCACCTACTTGAAGCAGTAAGTGACCTTCAAAAAAGCAGCCCCCACTGCACGTTTCGTCTACATATACGAAGTTTCTGTGGCACAGGTATTGTGCCCAAATGTACAAAAAAGCCTTTCGCTAATTCCCTAAACCCAGCAGGAAGTCGGCCATGTTGGATTAAATGGAACAGGAAATTATGTTCAATTTCTTCGAGCAGCATCCAAAGCGTGTGACAATTGGCAGCCGCTTCGGCACAGCTGCATGCACCCTGGGCCGCAGCGGCGGCACGCCCCAACGTGTTTCACATGTGAGGCCCCGTCCAACACTGCTTGCAGCTTTAATTTACCTTTGCTTGATGGGAATGTACTAGTGCTTCACAGGGCAAGAGCTTGTTGAAATTGCTTTAGGTTATTACAGGTGCATCTCAAAAAATTTGAATATCGTGGAAAAGTTCATAGTGAGCACCAGAACCAGACTGAGAGATTAAAGGCTCAGGATACCTTTGCAGGTGTTTTGATTAGAACTCGTTAGGTCTTTATTCTAAAATTCTAATATATTTTGAGATACTGGAGTTTTGATTTCCATGAGCTATAAGCCGTAATCTAGATTTTAAAAAAGTCTTGAAATATTTCACTTTACGAGTAAAAAATCAAGAATATATGAAAGTTTCACTTTTGAATTAAATTACAGAGAAAAATGAACTTTTCCATGATATATAAATTTCTTTAGATGCACCTGTGTTTGCATGTAGAGAGGCAACAAGGGTGGAATGTAAGGTAAGGTAAGGTGTAAGTTTTGACATCAATGTACTATCACTATCAGTATTTCCATTTAATGCTACTTTATACTTCAAATCCACTACATTCTAGAATCACATATTGTACTTTTTTACTCCAATACATTTATTTGACTCTTATAGTTAACTTTCTCAAAAAAACCCCAAACATAATATGTCAATGATGAACTACAATATAATAATAACTGGTGATAATAACACTTTTAAAAGGTGCCATTCTGCGTAATAAGTACTTTGACTTTTGATACTTTTAGTACATATTGTAACATTTTCAGTTCAGGACTTTTACTTGAAACTGAGTATTTTTAGACTATGGTATTTCTACTTTTACTTAAAGCTAAGGTAGGCAACATTGGAGAAACTAGCAAGAGACAGCTAGATTCTGAAAGTATCTAATCACTCCCTCCCTTCAGGCATCCCTTATAAAAACATTTTTATGTGCAATAAGTGCACAGAGAAGAGTGCCTGAAGGTAGGCAGGTCGGTAGGTTGGGCTTACTACAGGTTTGAGACAACCGCATACCAGAATTTTCCCCCAGAGCACTTGATTTATTGATTGCTGTCAGGATGTAAAGTTAATTTCAACAAATTTCTTGATTTCAGTACTTCTTCCACCAGTGAGAGGCAGGCAGAAACAGAGACCTGGGCTTTCAAGGTAAAGATTCCAATTAACAGGGGAAAGTATTTTCAGAAATTACTATTCACACTCCTATGCACAATACTTCTCGGTAGCAAAGCAGAGCCACCTCTAACTCAGTTAAATGTCAATTATGACACTCAATGAGCCTGTCAATACCCATTAGCAGTAAATACAGTGAATGCTTTTTTCTGCAAAAGACACTTATTATCTAGAGGGAATAAGTTGTGTGTTTCCAACACATATATATCCCTGTGCCCAAAAGACCTATAAGGTCAAAAGTGTACTACTAAAGTATTAAATTATTTAGATTTCAACATTACACTCAGTTCTTGATCTAGTCTGGGGTTTTATGAACTCACTCTTAAAAAGTTGTATTGGCTGTATATGTTTATATGTATTCTGATGTATGACATTGCAAATGTATGGGTATCAAAGGGGAAAGAAACCATCAGTGTGGTGTGCATCTCTTTAGGTGTCCTACCAATGACGAAGGCCTCTTTGGACTGTGTTCCATGTTCGTTGTACCAGGGTGGGCGGCCAGCGGTGTAGATGGTTCGTTTGGAGGTGCGTAGGAGTGGAGGCTCGGACTTACACTGGCTGGTGGTCCTTTTCCGGGGAGAAAGGCCCGTGCTTACAGAGGGGAGAAGCCGGTCCAATGATCCCTCACCACCTCCACTGTAAAGCAGCAAACACACAACAGAGTAGACCATCACAGTCTGAGGTAAAGGAGCTTTTTGTGTTTGCCTTTTGTTGGTGGATATTTTATAAAACTGGACATATTACTTGTCTTGCATACAACTCTGTACACCTTTAAAAAGAGCGAGTTCTTCTGTTGTTCTTTTTTTGGGCCAAGGCACAAGCTTTTAACAAACAACATTTTATCAGGTGGAATATAATAAAAAGGTTTTTGGTCACAACATGACAGGGGTTTCACTAAACTTAATAAACTACACACTAAAAGACAGCACAGAACCACAGTACAACCACTGCTCATTAGCGTTCTTGTATCAAGAGCTGCATTTGAACAGTGGTGAAAGTTGGCGATAAACAGGCAATAAGGCATGGCAAGAACAAGACAGTCATGTCAACAAGACAACAATTTAATCTACAGGATCTTTAATTAAAGAAAAGCTCCTTGCACACACACACACCAAGCTTCCATAAGTCATTCTCACTCCTGTGTGTTATGTGTATTTGCCAAACAGACAGACGTTAGTTTGGTGTGTCACAATGGGATGTAAATGCAGATGGACTTGAAAGAATAGTGGCCCAGTTAACTGACAATAAATAAGATCGAGCTAGTGTTGTATTACCTGTCATGCGTTAATGCTTAGTTTTTACATATGCAACAGGTGAGCTTTGTCCAACCTTGTACAGTGTCTGTTGCAGGTAACAAAGTTCAATATATCCTATACGTTAACCAGGTAGAAAAATATTGACTCAACTACATGACTACAGGCCTATGATCAGTTGCGCAACTGAATCATGTGTAGTATGCAATATGCTGAGGGCGTAACCATAGAGTGTTACCAATGACTAAGACCATTGCAATGTGTTGCCCCCAGGACAGGGCAATAAAACAATAGCAATAATCATTGAAATATATGTTTCTTCAATAACAATATAACAACAGCTATATAACTAGCTAAGCTATTTATTTTGTGGAGGAAAAGTGACTGAAAATTTTTTTTACATAATTTTATTCCTGCAAATTTGTTGAAAAAAGATTTTATCATAAATGTTTTGAATGTTCTACCTTAAATAATGTTAAGTGATCCACTGTTTGGCAAGTGTTTGTCATGTTCTGTAAATTAAGAACACTTTAAAACCCACAATTAACCATCTGGGTTCTTCAACTTTCACGTGAGCACTTGAAAGAAATACTTCATAATTTTCATTTATGATTATCAATATTAAATGATATGACATATTTTATTGTGATAACATTATTGGCTATATTGCAGAGCCCTTGTTGTCACAGATACAAATAACCTCATTAGCAAAGGTCCTAAAGCTCATTCAAAACAGGCTTGTGGGAGCCAGGTACAGAGCGAATTTGTATAGACTATTCAAACTACATGATGGTCAGTCACATTTTCTGCACAACATAATAACAACAATGATGATCAAAGCTCCACTAAGAGTATTTTATGTAATACCTGCGGGCAAATGTCTTCTATTTCAACACCAAAAAACTACATCTACATAATTTTGTAATGGTGTTTCAACATCTGTGACGGTATAGTTACGAATTAATCCACACATAGAAGAGTTTAACTTGACTGTGACATTGCAAGAGGAAAGTGAAGAAGAATGAGCTGACAAGGTATCTGTGGTGCCTTATCTATACAAAATATTATAGCCTAAAGAAGAAACTACTTGGACATCATCAAGAAAGCAATATCTTTTATCATAAATCACTGATGTCATAGATAATACAGAGCACAAGAAGTATCACCAAGAACCATCACCAAAGCAAATGCTGCATTACTTGTTTTACAAACAGAGGCTTCTCTAAGGTAACGGATGCTAGCAACACTTACTGCATTATCCGAGACATCCACCAAGTAAGGACTGTAAAAAGCCAGGTGCCATAAGTATAGTAGGCTGTGTGAGAGAGCAGTCCTAGGTGTTCACCTGTCTATTTCTCTGTTATCCAGTAAACTCTGGGCTTCCACATCTTTATATAGCCCATAAACCTCCCCAGGTGGAGCGTCAAGAGGTCAGAGGTGATGCAAACAAGAGAAAGCAAAGATATTTCTTATGACAACACGGTCACCTGAGCTTGGATGGAGCCAGGGAATGGGCTAAGACCGAGAGAACACATAGACAATGCACGAGGCATAGCACACTCCAGCTGGGTTATCAGTTAAAACCATAGACTGTATAAAAGTTAAAACCAAACCGGGTTGCCATAAAAGATTAGCCTAGTTGCTTCATCTGTGCTGAATCATAACCTTGTTCCATGGTTACTGTCATAATACAACTAAATATTAATTACATACACTCATCTATGAATGCAACTGAGACCAGATTGTTAGAAGACTCTTATGGACCATCTGAGTCCCAACGGTCAGCAGTGGTCAATGATAACAGTAGCAGTAAAATGTTATCAAGACTCTTTAGAAAGATTAATTAAAGACAACACAAATGCACAATGGCATTTATTTGACAAAACCAATCTTCAATCTACGGTGCATGACTACAACTTCTATAATAAGAAGAATATTTTTTACACTGATACACACATTATATACATATAGATCTTTGCCAGCTTACCAAAGAGCTAGAGACTGGAGTTGTCACTCCTGTTTATCCACATTTAGAAGAGAGAGAGAAACTCTTGCTACTCCTCTCACAGGGTGGAGGAGCAAAACACTTAATTATTTATTACACATGAGGATACTAGAATGAAACAGCAAAAAAAAGCAAAACGAAAAGTAGGAGTATATAAAAAAATATAATGCACTTACCTGCCGTCAGATCTTAGAGTCCAGCAGCCGGATATTCTAGCTCCTGAGTAAGCCGGTAGAGAGTTCATAACCGGAGACAAATATATGGGACTATGTGTACTCCACAAATTGTGTTTTTTAAACCTACAGTAGTACTGGGTATACTCAGTATATATATATACACACACAGCACTGCCTTCTGGTACAACACATCCAGAGAGAGAGAAATAGAGGTTGGGCTATATAGAGGGGAATCAGGTTAGTTGAGAAACGAAACTTGAAACATTTGTTTAGCTTTCTGTTTCTTCAATTCAGTGGAGCAATAGAGGGAGAGAGAAGGCACTGCAGCTTGGTAGAGAGAGCGGACTCAGTGTGAAACTACAGCACAGCTTTTCCCTCCTCTTTCATTCGCACTTCACTCCTCCCCTCAGTCGTCCAGCCAACAAATGTAAGAGGATAACCTACCCTCCAGATTATGTTCATTAGGTGATATTAATAGTATCAGGTTGGAGCCAGACCTTTCCACACACACATACGCACACACACGCCAAGCTTGGGTCATCTGTCTTTGACAGTCAGTGTCACAATATGTGGCTGGAGGTGAAAGAGGGACCAGAAGGGAGCGACAGAGACACCAAGAAACAAACTGGAAAAAAACTAAACAAAAGAAGAGTAGGAACAGACAAACAACCACCTACTATTCTCCTCTGATGTTGACGCAGTTGACCGAATTCACAACAGAGACGCTTCAGGCTTTGCTGGGGAGGTGAAGAGAGGGAGAAAGAGAGAATACGGCAGAGGGCAAAGGCAGAGCGGAGGCAATGTGTTTATTTCCCCTGCAGGGACTCGCCATGTCTCCATGTGCCTTACACCAGAGTCTAGAGATGTCAGCCAACACACACACACACACACACACACACACAGAGCGATGTCCCCTCCCCTACTTCACTCACAGTGAAAACTGGGGAATAAACAGCATGACGAAACCCAACACTACCTCTACTGCTCTGTCAGCTGACAGTCTGAGGAACAGCCCGTGGCAATGCACGCATACAACACATGCACACACTCCTCCCGGGCCAGACAAACAAATCATTATTCTCAGAGATCAGAGGAGACGGATTAATTGTTTTCTAGTGCAGCAAAAACAAAGCCAAGAACTGAGCAGGCCAACAGCTTCTAGATATATTTTAAATCAACATTTAAAGTGGGGCCGGACTTGACAAGGCCTCTTTTGTGTTTACTTCCTCGTTAAAACCACAGGGGACAGACACAAGAGAATTCAGTGGTTTTCTCTAATGTTCACTGTACTTTTGGGACTGTCGCTGTTGCTTTAAACTGCAGTCAGAGGACAGCTGCAATGTAAGAAAGCCACATCGAAACAAGAAGCCTGAACTGGTTGCTATGCCAAACATTCAGCTATCTCTCTATAGAGAGACACACAGAAGGTTATAGGCCCGAGCTGAAGCAAAACTTACTAATATTCTAAGTACAGTGAGATAAATGTTCTATAGCACAGCAGCACACACAAGTGGAATTGTAAGATGTCTCTTACAACTCATTTGAACATAATGTAATCATTCAAGAATGTCGTCAAATATAAAATGGTAGTGACACAAAGGTACAAAATATTTTAACAAGATCAACATGCCAAATAATCTATTTCAGATACAAGGACAGAGTTATGTGAGGGTGGACAAAATAACTGAAGCACTTGTCCAGTAGGGTATATTGCAATTAAATACAATAACATTTTAGTTAAATAAAAACCTTTACAAAGCTTAAACTGTTCGTTTTCTATTGTGACTGTTATGTGTCAGGGAGGTGTTGATTCGCTTGGAAGTTTTTGAGGCTATAGCTTGTGGTGCTTTTGTGTTAGATTACATTATTTTACACCAGTTTCACATCATCAAATATATACTTCCAGGCTTGTGTGTTTACTTACAGCTCCTCACTGAATTCGCTGGACATCTCTTTCTGAGTTGTTTAGGGGTTTTATTTGGCAGGCGTTGCAATGTTAAATGTGTCCATGTGAGTATAACTTTAATGCTTGTTATACCGGTTTGATGAGTCCATCAAACAGGAACACGCCCTCAGTGTTTCGACCGATGCAGTAACACCCTCTTGTGGCTCAGTAGGGTATCAAGTTGAAGCTTGGTTTTGCTAAAGGTGGATACAGAGAGCTGACTCACTGGGTCAATGTGGAAGTTTTACTGTATATATTCAGCTACATTATTATTCACCTTAAGCAAATGTCATTATTTTCCGTAGTAACGTTACTTCCCCTGAGAGGAGGGCACTGTTTGTCAGAAATGAGCCCTCATGCTGCAGTGCCAGGAAAACACGCCATGCTTCTCTCCTCTGCAAAATGAAAGCTGTCTCTCTTAATGCCTTATTCGGGCTTTTAATTTCTGTCTATAGCTAGCTAAACCTGTTACACTGTACATTAAAATATTTGAGGTAACATAAGGTTAGTTTTTCCTGGTTTGAGAAGATAATGAAGTTATGTGTTAGGAGGGTAACGTTACCTCGTGTAAAATATGACAACTGTTATAACCAAGTGAGAGAGTGGACAAAACGACGGACTGAAAGTGGGTCGAGTTTGTATGACATATGTAATAAACCAACAATTACACTGTAACTTCCTCGCTGCAATTTACAGGGATATGTTACTTTTATATATAAGGTAACCACACAGCGTGACAAGTCGTGTTTCCGTTAAGATGCTTAACCCAACGGCCAGTGAATTTATTTTAGAAAAGTCGCCCAAAAATCGTTTCGAGGTTCCGGTGGTTTCCCGAATAGCAGCCAATATTTTACCTGCTCGATACAGAGGAAGTTTTCTCTTCGTTCTCCATCTTTGAGACCATTTCTTCCCTGCGACCGCCGGACATTGCTACTCTATTGACAATCAGGTGTTCAGTACGTTTAGCGCTGAGGCATCATGGGGCTCGTAGGCGTTGCGTATTTCACCATCAGAAGGCTACGCCAGCATCGGCCAACAGATGGACTTCAAGCCCCATGATGCATCTGTTCAGTTCTTTATATCTACAGCCAGCTGCATGTACAGTATGATAATCATACAGGGCCTTTCCCGAAGCTATCTGTGGGTAAGGTCCAGCCAGACACGTGTTTAGATCTGACTTCTATAATAATATGAGTGTTATAACGTAATCGCACAAAAATATAACACATATGTAATAAAACATGTCATAATTATAAATAGATTTTATAATACTCTTAAAAATAATTTACAACATAGGACAATGCATAAATAACGTAATACTGTTGTACTGTTGCGAATTCAAATTGCATCTGTATATCTGAATGGTAATAAATCCAGCACAGAATGATAAAAGCCAGCATGACAATGTGAAGTAGCCTACCTGACACACTCCTAACACTGGGTAAGAAGATCCTTCTGTAATTTTGAAAGACGCTTCTGTGAAAGCTTACTTTTTCATTCAGATAATTACATTTTAACAATAACAATTGCTCACATTTGGCATGTCATAGCAGGAAAAAAATCACAGGTGTTATTTAATTAATGATGGCTTCCTTCCAATTAAGGTGTGCCAGTGAGCCAGCATGCACAAAACAGGAACAGTAACTGGCACAAAGGGGTACTGCCATTATTTATCTTATCAGGTACACCTGTGTTTGACAGGTCAAACACTAGCAATTATAGCAATTACATCCATTGTAACAACATAACATATGACAAATATGATAACAAAACTTATTTAAAAGCTGACACAGTTGACACAAATTTAGTCAACAAACTTTTATTAATTAGTTGAGGGATACTAATGCACAGGTAATACAACAAGTTTGGGGAAAATTGTAACAGTTCAGACTCAAAGGAGGTGTCGATGCCTCCTATGTTAGGTTCTATACAGCTTAATTTCAGATATGGAAATTTTTAATACATCATTAGTCTCATTTCACCTGTTACCTAGATATCATGACCAGTTATGAGCTACAACATCATCTCTTAAAACTCATCACAATGGCCCCCGACAACACAGGCAGATGCCATGTCCTGCTTTTGAAGTAGGTAGCATACAACACTAACCACTGTTGTCCAAATAAAAAGGGTAAAATTCTCAACTGTCTAAGGAGATTTCTAGGGATTAACCTTGGTTTTGGAAATAACATTGCTGACAAAGGGAAGACACTTGAGCCTTCTGTTTCCCCAGGTACAAAAGTCACACCACACACAGTCAGGGTAACTAGAAAGCTCCAACAACACTCCTATTTCAAGCCTATTTCATGATATAGTAAGTGCACTAAATACAGAAACAAACACACATACATATGCCTTGTTGTCCCATATTGAATAGGTAATAATAAAGGACTCTCTCAATGTGTTTGTCATTGTGTACTGAAAAAGCTCAATTTATGTGCATCATCAAAATGGATAAAATAACAGTGTATGCCGACACATAGGCCTACAATGTTCTTTGTGGTCTACAAATGTTTTCAACCTTTTTTTTTTAGATTTCATAATATGTAAAAAGCATTTTTAAAGCAAACAAATAAAAGTAGGGGAGTGAAAAAAGCCATTCAATTTTGAGAAGACACATCAATATCAAAATATCAGCAAGCCAACAAAACCAGCTAAATATGGTGTATTGCTGTACTCTCTAAACATGTTGCAGTTAGCTCACACTGCGGGATAGATATGTGTTTTCCACATCATAGGAAGACAGATAGTAAAGGGTGTGATAAAATATAAAATACTCACTGTTAAAAGCAGTGCCTAACTATCATATTGCAACACCAAAGCTTGTCAGGTAAACACAGTCAATGTGACGTTATTAATGAAACGAGTAACAAGCAGCTGATGAACTGATTCTGTGCCACAGCATAACACCATTCCTGACATCCAGTCATTACAAAGGTGCTAACTGTTTTATACACACACACACACACATACACAGACACACACAGACACACACACGCACACACACACACACACAAGGTCTGGACAACTCATATCGAAATGGTCCGAGGACCAATCAGTGCTTGTCTAATTTATCCTCCCCGTCAGCTGAACCTGGTTACAAGATAAAGGTCCATCCCACTAACAGAGACAGACACATGCATAATCATCCCCACCTGAATGAACTCCATCAGTTGATTAATAATGGAGGAATTCAGCTCAAATCTTTGCTTTACAATATAAAAGGTCACAGCGTAGGGATGACACCACCTGGGACATATACATTTCAAATTCACTGTTCCTTGAAAATGTTCTGCTGACATCAGTGCTTGATTTAAATGATGACATTGACATTTGTTGGTGCAAAATTAAGAGGACTTGCCAGTAAGGAGAAAATGGGAGGATGGATTAGTGGACTTACTGAGTTGTATCAGGTCCTTAAGGTAGAGTGGCAAATAAAGCACCCTTATTATCTCACCAGAATATCCTCACATCACAACTTTATCCAAAGCTATCAAATTGCTATCTAGGTAACACACACAAGAGAATATAAAATAGATTTATGATCTGTCTTTTTTTTTTTAAGCAAGCACGTCATTATTTTTATGGACATACGCCGCAAATATAAATCAAATATTTTTAGTTTTATTTAGTTTTCATTTCCTCAAATCGTTAATATAGCTGTGGATTCAAGTATCTACTTTAAACCTGTTAAAGTGAAAATATTCTCTGATTGCACACATTTTAGATTTGAAAAGTTATTTAATAAAAATGGATTATAATTTTTTTTATTTATCTGAAGCTAAAGTAACATTAGAGCAGCCTTAAAATTCAACAAGACCAGTTATGGCTTTATGTGGTGAGTCATAATTATACGGTCATGTTGGCTTACAGATACTATCTAGAAAGAGTTAACCATGCTGCTCATTACCCATGTATAGACAAATTTAGTTTTTCTCTAGTTTATTTATTTTTTAATCAGAGTAAAATATTCCCGCTCCTGTTGCTTGGCAGCCACTGGGTTAGGTTGAATACTCCTGGAGTGCAAAAATACAAGAGGGCAGCGAGACGGGTAAAGGGTTAAAGTGCAAGGCAATAAGCATCCAGGAATTAATTCATCTATCATCATTATACGTGAATCTTTATTTGAAATGTTTCTGTTTAATAAAAGATTACTTTCCTCAACCTCTCTATAAAAGATAGCATTTTTAATTCTCTCCTCAGCTCTTTGATTCAAGCTAAAGTCTTGGCCATAATATGACCTCCGTTAAAATGGTATCACATCATTTGATTGTGCTGCAAGTGTGCAACAAGCTTCACACAAAATTGATCCTTCTGTCCAACATTTAGCTTTATACATCCTATTTTAGACAGAATGCTTCAAGTTTTTTTTGTTTAAAATCAATTAAACAATGTCATATTAAGTATTATTGTAACTAACTTATACCTTGCAGGTGGAAATATCAAACAATCATTTTTTGGGGTAGCCTGCTTATTAACTTCAGTGTAAAAGAACTGTGGAAATAACAGTTTGAAACTTAATCATGGTTGTCAAAGGACGTGATAAAATTAAAATAAATGTCACTGAAGTGATAGCGACATAGATGTAGGAAAACAGAGTGGAATATGATTAACAACTAACCAGCATTTTAGCTTATATGACATTTGCTTACTTGAAAAATAAAAAATTAAAGACAATAAAAGGAAAACCAAAAAGGAAAAAAAGTTCAAAACAACATTGCACTACAGCACACACTGCAAAAATTCTGATTGCTCATGATCATTTGGACGTGTCAGGCTTGAAAATGACAGATGGCATCATTGCTTTGAGTATATAGATATATAGATATAGATATTGTTTATGTACACAGTACAGTATATCTGTGAAAAAATGTGAAAACACTAGCTATCATTAAATGACTTCACCATGCTAATAGAATATCCTTTTTAAAACCTCTCAAACACAACATGAATCTTGTAGAGGGAGTTACTCTGCGTTTGTTTAGAATACTACCTCTGTTTAGAAAATACTAACCATGTAGAAGTCAGGATTGTATCTTTGATTACTACTGCCACCCTTGCTGTGAGTACAGAAACTGAAATGTGTGCTTTAAAAAGGTGAAAAAAAATGTGGAATGGAGAAATTAAACACTACTGTTACAGGAGTATTGTTTATAACAATAGAAGCATTAACTCTGGGGTTTCAAAACCAAGTTAGTGAAGTCAGTACTAAATGTTGGTTGATTGATTCAACTTTCTTCTCAGTGCCAAGTCCTTGTGGCGTTAGAAAGGTCTATTAGCTTTCTGGCATAACATTTACAGCGAGCATCCTCCTTGGCTCCTGGATCGACAAAAGCAGAGCTACTCTGACAACGACAGCCTCTTGGGTTTGCTTCGTTTGGCGGCGGAGTGGATGGGTTGTGTGGTCTGGCCTGAATTAGCACTGTCCGTTGGGTCGGGGATCAGGGTGGGGGACTGTGTTGGGCCCGAGGAAGGGTTCACGACAAGGGTTGAGTTTTGAGTAGTGGTAGGTGCTTCAGTTTTTGTTTGGAGTGGTGCAACCACAGAGGGACGCTCTTTGGGCTTGCGGCCCCTCTTCTTACCAGTGGTGGCACCGTTCCTCACTTCAGCTTTGATCCCATTGTTCTCAGGCAAGTTACCCTTGCTACTGGAGACCACGTGACTGGCTGCTGCACGAAACCAATTCTAAGACAATAAAACACACAGTTATTGATCGACTCAACCTCAGAAGAAGGAAAAAGAGCTTGTATATAACTGTATAACTTGTCTACTGTAAAACCACCTTGTCTGAATATAAGTCCCATAAGATGGTAATAAAGGTTTGTGAAGTTTACATTCAGACTGACCCACCTGTGAGTGTGTCTTACTGATGTGGTACTTGACACCGCTCTCTGAGCTAAACTCCTTCTGACAGATCAAACAAGTGTACTTCCCCAGTTCTCCACCACCCTGCAACAAACACACACACACACAGTATATATATATATATTAGGGGTGTAACGGTACACGTATTCGTACCGGACCGTTTTGGTACAGGACTTTCGGTGCAAACGTGCACCGAATGCAATCTTTAACGTCAGATATAAGCCTTGTTTTGTGTGTGGAACATATGTAAATTCCGAATTTCCACACGGACATATTAAGTGGCGGACAAAATCTCCACCTTGCAGCGCTACACAAACAGCACATTTTAGCCCAGCCTCTTGCTAACTAGCAACTTCAGCATCAACTTCAGCTCACATCAGCTCCCTCCCTTATTATTAAGGTCTCCTGTTTGGGAACACTTCGGTTTTCTAGTGAAATACAACGGACAAAGACAAGTCGATAAGACAATGCAGTGGGCCGACATTTCTCACACAAATGAGAGCGTCAGTACGACAAGGGACAAAAACAAACACGAGCACAGTGCAAACGCCCTTCAGCATTTAAACAGACTTTAGAAGTTGTTTTTTTTTAAATCTGAGCAGACCTTCAAGTTGGGATTGATAATGCACATAGACTGTATAAAATAAGAATGTTGCACTGTAATCCATATTTATTTATTTTTTATTATATTTTCTTAGCTATATGTGGTATTGTTTTGAGAATATTTAATTTAATGGAGTTTTTGGTAGTAGTTTGCAGCAGTATTTTATTTCTTATTCTTTTTTATTTTATATAATTTATTATGTGTAATTTGAAAGTTTGTTTAAAAAAATGTAAACTAAGTTTAATGTTTACAAAAGCTCATAATAAACAAGCAACAATTTAATGTTTGCATCTTTTTCCCTTAATGTACTGAAAATAAACTGAACCGTGACTTCAAAACCGAACCGTGATTTTTGTGTACCGTTACACCCCTAATACTGTATATATATATATATATATATATATATATATATATATATATGTATATATTTGTGTACATCTTCTTCAGCTCAAAACACTCTCTATAGCAATACATGCTTGGTGAATCTGCATCCATCATCATCCATGTCACCTTTTACGCACCAGATTACAGTCTGTAAGTAAGAGTCAACACCAGTAGTTTGAAACTAATATATGCATTTGTGTTGATAACATTTTTCTCAAATATTAGGTTGCATTGCTGTCCCGTGTACAATAAACATATTTTCCTAATTGTTTTCAAACCCAGTTAGCCATGTCTGAAACTTCCTTAATGACTCTTATAAATAACGTTTTTGGATAAAACACATGTTGCAATACTTTTTCTTTAGGATTTTACTTTCAGTTTACCTCCAAATGACATGTCGCTGAATTTTGAATTGTCTTATTTACTGGACATGTTTATAGTTGTGCTGTATTGTATTGCATTGTTTTTCAGAGTTATGATTAAAAGTTATAATGTGACCGTAAACAACCCAGACCTGGCTTTAAGATAACGAATGAATCTGAAATCCCGTTTGTGTGTGTGTGTGTGTGTGTGTGTGTATTCTTGTTTTTGCTCTAGGGTCTACAGAGACAAATGTAATCTGGTTTGGTTGGTTTGCTGCAGGTACCTGGCTGCAGTTGGCCAGGTGGGCTTTTAGTCCTGACACACTGGAATAGACAGCTTCACAGTTCTGAGACAAAAGAGAAATTAACAGGGAGTGAACAAACTTAATTCATATTGCTGTGAAATAAATATCTTTATCATCATCTATATCATTATAAACCTAGTCCTCAACATTAAGGCAAATTAAGACTGAATCAATGTTTTGTTCAAATATGGAAAGTAATTTTCTATAAATGGTGACACATGAATCCAGTCAATGTTCCTACTTCATTGGTGCAGCAGATGAAGCCCTTCTCCTTGACTTGGTTCTTCCAGGTCTCTAGTAGCTCTGGGCTGAAGTTGGGGAGGCCAGGACGGGTGTAGTTTAGCTATATAAAAGACAAGGCAAGGCAAATTTATTTATAGAGCGTATTTCATTTCGTATTTCAGCGTGTCATGATCTTGGGTTTTATTGTGTTGTTTTTCTGTTATTTTGTTATTGTCCATTTTAGGGCTGACCTCGATGCTTCGATGGGCGGAGCCTGATTCGACCGTCAATCTCACAGTCGAAGCTTCACAGTAAAACAAGGATCATGCCATTTTGGCGATATGGGGGTGCACAGCGTCTGATTTTACATAGAACTACCAGTTTTCTCCCAATATGTTAATATACTGCCTATTATAATATACATTTCAACATTTAATGCTGTTAATAATCATGTGAAAAGAATAAAACTTTCAATGAATGTTTTTAAAGTAAGTAAGTAGTGTTTTTGAGTAAATAAATCCAAAATTGTAACCCTAACATTGGGTCATCAGTGCGCATGTGTAGGTGTAGGGTGTAGTGGCGGAAGAGGAACACTTGCTGAAGAGCTGGAGCTCCAGCTTCACTGGTGTTGTGCCGAGTTGTCCGCACTTCGCGGAACTTTTGGATAATTTATCACCGTTGATGAACCACACAAAGAATATTTTATCGTTTTTAAATAGCCGGCTACTTGAAATAGACCCGTGAGGAACTGTGACGTGCATGCAGTCGTTGGCAGCACAGAATGCATGCCAAACTCTGCACAAGACCGGTGAAAGACAGGTGAGATATATATATATATATATAGATATATATATATATATATATATATATAGAGAGAGAGAGAGAGAGAGAGAGAGAGAGAGAGAAAAGGGTCTTCAAAAAGCCTCAGTTTAGCCTCAGTTTTTAAAGAATTAAAATGAATAAGAAATTAAGGGAGCAATAGTAATTAAAATAAATAAAAAGATAAAGCAATAAAATTAACAGTATAAACAAAAAAATCAGTATCCCTGGTAGTGGTCCAGTATGTATATATAAGTATGTTTATAAAAAAGAGAGACCAGGATATATTTTCATCTGTTTACTCTTGGTGTCTGGCTTTGGTGAATGTCAGTGTGTAATCTCGTTTGCACTTCTGTGTGTGTTGATTGTTCTTTAGGTGGCGATGTCTTCTTGCAATACGCAATGCTGCCTGTGTGTTTATTTCTACTATGTTGATGTCTGCATGGAATGTGGATTTGTGTGTACTTAACACATCCACTCTCTGTCCTCACCCTCTTGCTGTCAGGCACTAGGTCATCCTTGATGCGGCGCTTGGTGCCCCAGTCTTTGGCCAGCTCATCTTCTGCTATCTCCTGCAGGTGGAACACTGCCACCTGAGCTGACCGGCGCCTCACTCTGCCACTGGGGGTTCGTTCAAAGTCATCCCCCTGGCTCACATTCTGTGCTGCTTTTTCTTTGTCTCGCTCCCTGTCCTTTTCCTTTTCCCTGTCTTTGTCCCTGGTTTCTCTCTCCATCTCCTTAGGCTGGCCGGACGGGGATTTCTCCTGCCGATCCTTCTTCTCAGGCTGGCTTGGCTCCTTCCTGCCAACTGATTGAGACTCTTCTGAGACCACCTGGAGGAACAGAAAGACACTTATTTGAGTGGAAATGTTGGTAAACTTATTACAGTCAAAGCTAGTAAAAAACGCCCCTGAGCAGCAAGACACAGAAAAAGGCCTGTCTCCTATAATTACTGTCCTCCTAAGAAGATCATCTTACCCTCTCTTTGCCGGTGTTGTTGTTTGTGTCAGTGATATTGTCCTTGTTGTTGTTGGAGGTGGTGGTGGTGGTGATAGTCGGGGAGTGTTCGGTACGCACATGGTAGTCTCTGCCAGCCTTGGAGCGGTAGGTTTTTCCACAGTGCTGACACAGAAACACAGGCTTCTCATCGTCAGAGAACTCGCTGCCACAACGTTTCTGGTGGTACTGGTAGCCCATCAGACTGGAAAAGTGGGCTGAACAGCCCTGTGTATGTGTGTCCACACGTAATGATTGTGTGATTGTGTAAGGCCAGTGACAGAAATGAGACAGAATGAAAACACACATTAAGCAGGAAACTGGGCAAGCGAAACGCAGTGTAGGTTTAATGGAACAATATTACTGCAGTTGGTCAATATTTCGTGGTTACTGTTAAAAAGACTGCTCATTTTTCAGTGTGAGGACATGTCACAGTAGAGAGTCTATTTTTTGCAGCCCTTTCTCTCACTGCCTTTTGCGCTCTAGTGTGAGTAATGGGAAGCAGAGTGTTGATGTGGTTTTGGGCAACATGTCAAGAACAAGGCATAAAGGAAAAAGGAGGGGGGAGAGGTAAAAGGAGGCAGACACAAAAAGAGAGGAGCCTGAGGAAAAAGGAGAAACAAAATCGAAACTGGCAGATGAGTAGAGAGGAAAATGTGACGTGAAAGACAGAGAAGATGGACAAATGGAAATGCAGGACACAAGAAAAGCAAGAGTAGTAAAGAATGAGAGAAAGGGACACAGGAAGAAAGGGCGAGAGCATACCTCACTAGGACATTTGATTCGTCCCATCTGTTTGAGCACTCTGCGCAGCCTTTCTCTCTCCTTGTGCTTGTCGCCCGTCTGGCCTTCGCTCCCCGAGGGCTGAGGGGGATCAAACACAACGTCGCATAAGCGTGTCCCACCACAACACCTCACCCTCCCTCCTGACTAAAAAAAAAGAAATGTTGATAAAAATGTGTTTTCCATCACTGGTGTTCACACTGTGCCAGGATCATTAAATGGTTTCATGGTGAGGCTGTTACTCAAGGCATGTTTATGACAACTGTCAAACTAGTGTTTTCACTCGAGTGTTGGCTGGTGCCAAACCCCAGCCAAAACCAGAACAACAGATGGCCAGGCTGCCAGGGAGAAGAAAGAAGAGAAGTGCAGGGGACTGGAGAGAGTCTGGACTTACTGAGGCGTCCCAGTGGAGCGAACTTCTTATGTTTTCTCATGTGTTAACACAAACAGAAAGAACTGAGATGCCTGAGACACAACCTTAGCTTTCTGGAAAGGTAAGAAGGAGATGAGACACTGACAGAGTGCTTCACTACTTCGAGTAAGTCATGCTCAAGTCTGCAGGCAAGAGAACAGACACCAGCTCAGCCATTGATTTACACTGGGGGAGCGGGGGGAGGCATGAAACTACATCAGCATGTATTCCTCATGCCTCTATCAGAGACAGAGAGAGCGCGAAAGAGCAAGCACTGGAGAAAGAGAGTGAGAGAATGGCGGCAGTATCACAGCAGCAACAGCAACATCAAGGTCAAACTCAGTGGGTGACCCCTGTCCTTCTGTCAGCCCTCTGTGTTTTCCCACACTGCACTGAGGCTGCGCCACGTGACCGTACTGACAACACACTGGTCTCAGGGTTAGCGCAAACACCCAAATCGAGTCATATAAAATCCATCTTCATAGCTCAGCTTACAAGACTCAAGCACAATTGCTTCATGTAGAAATGAAAGAAAAACCAATAAGGCTTCAACGCAAATGGTATTACAAGCAGCTACATTAACAGGGATAAAGCTATTAACAAAAGGAGTGAATGAATCAGTAAATTCTTTTTGCCTATATAGAGATAATGTACTAACTTATTGGAACACAGGAAATATTTAGTGCATTTACACGAACAGCACCTATGTAAATATGTCATCAAATGACCAATCCTGTCGCCACTTGCTGTGTACTGTGGCCACAAAAAACACCTAGGATAAGCTTTTATACCAAGACAAAACTATTTTCCTCTGTCAAAGACTCAAAAGAAGTGTCTTCTAGATACATTTGAATGACACTGCGATTGAAATGCGGTACGAATGAAACACAGCGATTTTCTCCGAGGCCATACAAGTCTGATATCCCAAACTACATACAGTACACAGTACTGACCAGAACAGGAAAAATCAGGGGGAAACATCATACTTTCACAGAGTTTTATGGAAGAAGCTGTTTTCAATCAAAAATAATATAAAAATAAATTCATTTTTTTTTGAATGACAAGTTGTGTTTACTGTTTCATGTGCTGTGGTCATCATCACACGACAGATTAGTTAGCACTTTAACACATCCTGAAGTTTTAAATGTCAATGTTTTACAGTTTAGAAGCTAGTGAAGTTTAAAAGTCAGGAGTCACTGTCGGGACTAATGAAACACCTATTTCAATCGTCCCCACACGTAGCCATTCTACCCTATTTAGATATTGCAGGAGGGGGGCAGAGTTCACTAGGCTGCAGGCTAGACCACCAGGATACTGATAGCCAAATCATAGGGTCTTTACAGTGGATCAGGAAAACAGGCTGCAGATGACCATAAAAAGGGCAGCCGAGATGTAATCCAAATGTGCATTAACTGATGTTCTTAAAGTTATATTTAATATATTTTTATTAAGAAAAAGGACATAATATGTTTGCAATTACATATTAAGAAGGACACTGTCAAACATTTTATATAAAACCAGAAAAACAAACAATTTAAATGTATATCGTTGTGTTTCTTCTGTCCCACCCCTGTGTTTCATCTGTCCCGCACAGTAGGCACGAATGAAACAATGTACACCTTGCGTTCAAAGTCAAATTGTACTGAAGTCGTTCTACATTTTTACACGATAGCACCTGGTACTGATAGAACACACATTGAGTTGTTGATCACAACAACAAATTATTTCTGTCTGTAACGTTATCTTTGAAAATGACGTATATCTGAAAAGTGTTTCAATCATTCCGGCTCTCCCCTACATTATGTGTAAATACATATAAAATATCCTCAATGACGAAGTAATTTTTACCTAAATACTACAGCGGTTAAGGGTATGTCTTCTTTCATCAGCAGCTACTTGAGTCTGAAGCACAATTGCAGCCAGCAGCACACTAACAGGCTTTCAGCCTGTCACAAAAGTTTAAATGATTTAATCTGAAAAGATATTGGAGGAAAGTTCAGTAGTTTGCTGAGGAAGACTACCTGGTGAAAGCTTTGAGCATTTTAGTTTCAACACGCACACACGGCGCTGTCTTTTGCTCTGCTGGACTGGAATGGCGCCAATAAGGTCAAGGGAACAACAGGTCCAGACTGAAGACAAATGACGGTATAAAACAGTTTAACTCGGCTGACACAGATGGCACAGTCATCGATCATTACTATTAAACTGACAGACATGCACACCCAAAGGCCCTCACGCACATATAAATGCATGTCCACATATATTGGAACACATGCCGCATGCCACAACATTTGAGGCACGTACATTCATAAATCTTTCATGATACTTTTTGAAACAGGCAGTGCTGAATTATTCAGCAAACCTCATAGCAGTATCATTGCTCTAATGCAGGAGTCATGATAGTATCTTAATGAAGCTCTCTGCTGTCAGAGCTAAGACAGCTACAGAAAGACATGTGAGACAAGAATACAAATTACCATTTCAAATGTATGATTGTTTACAACAACAAAAAAACAAGAGCAAGGGCCCAAAAGCTTCCAATGAATATGCAACAGATAAAATGTTGTATAACTAATGGGAAAGAAATGCGTTTTTTGACTCTGGATGCATGCATGCATATAGGTTAAATATCTACATGCAGGAAACCCCTCACTAAACACAGTGAAAGCTGACAAGCAGAAGCTTACGGCGGATTTCCATGCACAAGTGCAAGTCTGACCACCTCCAGAATGGGTGTAGTGCTTTGGTGTGGTGTTTATTAACTAACTGCCCTGTTTAGTGGGTCAGTGTGACAGCGGTGAAACATTAGCTCTCAAAAGCATCCTCGTCTGGACTACTGAGTGATGGATTAGGGGGCAAAGAACAGTCAAAACAAGCTTTTAGGTGCATTTGAATGTACCTTGGTGGTGTGCTCAGCCATGGTGTGGTAGTTGAGGCCGGCCTTTGACCTGAACTGTTTGTGGCACTGCTGGCACTTCAGGGCATCCTGCAGCTGCAGGGTTTGAAGGCAAAGCAGAGGAACAAATAACATTTCTATGAAAAGAAACCCACTCTTGCTGGCTACACTCTTTATTGGATCAAACGATATAGCAACATTTCATCTGTAACCTAATAGAGTTTGTTATGAGTGCGCAATTTCGGTCAACATAGAGGACAAAGGGCAACTCAAGCAACTTTGGGAACCGGAAAAAAACAATTTAACACACACTGTTCCTTTTCGTAGATTTCTCTCCTCGCCTCAGTATTGATTTGGAGACAGAGGTGTTCAGATGACGAGTGACCCAGCAGTAATGTGGTGATTCTGTCACTGTTTAACGGCGGACTGTCACGTTAATGGAGTCACACGGGCCACTGGGCCAAGGAGCCATAAAAATGGAAGTAGAACACGTCTCTCTGAGGGCCTAAAGGCTACGGCACCCCTCCAGCTGGTTTGTCCTGGGTAAAAGCTCAATGTAATGTTTTCAGTGCTTTACCCCTACCTCGTTTATTAATACTGACCACAATGCAAACAAGCTGCAGAAGTGTACAGTGTCCTTCCCTTTGATTCATTTCAACTGATATTAGCTTTCATATGAGAGCAGATGAGTAATGGATATTACATGAGAAAACTGGTTGAGATCACTGTACTGAGATACTGCCTGATGTGATTTCTACAGCCTTACAATCAATATCATTACTGTAAAGGCTCCCTAGACTCTGCACAATGGGTGCAATAACGCTGCAGTCAAAGTTATCATCCAATGTGGAAATTACAGCTCTGGGTTTACAGAGCTTTATTTCCTACTCAGACAAAAAGTTTGATAACAATTGTGGTTCACAAAAGTTTTGGTCAATATGTAAACCGTTTTTTGGTAAAGTTATACACGGATATCACTGATGGATTATGCTGTCAAATTGGCTTCCGTAAATCTAGATCCATTCAGATTACAGCAACACATCACGTTCATTGCATAGTGTCACGTGTTACACAGGATCCTGATTTAATCGAGAACAGCACAGATGCGAGACTTCTTTCCAACTGAACTGATTCATGATTCGTATTATTAAGGACAGTCGTGTCTTACTCAACTTTTCAGCAGTCGGGCTCCACCAGATGCAAATTCAGTGAAAGTAAGCTCGTACGGAGGGGTTTGTCTTGGAATGGTGTTAAATAGTCTGACAGGAAAACATTTTTTTCTGGTTACACAGAAATCTCTAATACAGGTTGTGACAGCACACACCCACCCTGCTCCCAGTCTGATGGACAGCTGTATTGCCCACTGACCTTCTGGCAAATCTCCATGTGTTTCTTGAGGCCGTGGATTGTTTTCCTGGTGACAATGGAGCAGGTGGGACACACCACTTCGCCTCGCTCTGAGATCGCTCGCTGCCATTGGGTATCAGGAACAGCACCTTAGAAACATGTGGAAACAGTATCACTCTGTCAGTTAGCCCATTAAACATTACTGGTATGGTGTCCTTATGGGCATAACATTTCCATTTGTGTACTTTCCTTGTGTTACAGTTTAATTTTATGCTTGTGTTACATTCTCCCTGTTACCCCCCCCCCCGGTCATGATGTACAACTCTAGATGATGGTGATTTTTCCCTCAGGTGTTTCAGGTCTGGGTGACGAGGGGAGAAACGCATAAGAGGGGGCTGGGCGCTTGGCGCTCTCTCTTGTCCACCATCCAGCCATGGCTGCAGCAGACCACAGAGACTGCTGCTGATTTGTATTCCTTTTGATTGTTGTTCTTTTCTTATATTTCTGATGGGACTGGTAGTTTAGTTGTCGTGGCTTTATTTCTGTTTGTTTAGTTAGGGATTGGTTTAGGATAGAGGGGAAGCCTCCAGATCCTACGACCCTTTGTGGGCTGGTCTGAAGGGTTTCCCTTTCTTTTGTTTGTTTTGACCAGGCCATCAGATTTTTTAGTTTGTTTGAATTAATTTCTGAACTTATTTCATGTTTATTTCAATAAACATGAAATAAGTTCAGAATGTTTTTTGTTTTTTTTGCATAACTCCTGGACTCGTTAATTATGTTTGACCTCCATTGTAACGAGCTTTGGTGGGGTTCGTGTTATCAAGTGATGATGTGTAGTGAGTGTGTGACTGAAGCCTAAGCACACGTTCTTGATTTATTTTTTATTTGGCTTATTTTGTAATCACAACCAGGTCACTGTATATCTATATTTAACAAAAAATAATAATAATTTGACAAAATATTTATTCATATTTTTTATCGTAATCTTAATTCTTTTGCGTGTCAGCATTTGAACCATGAACTAGACCAGGGCACATGTCATTTTGAATTATACTTTAAAAGCCAGTTCTCATCACATCAGAGACCTCTGAATGTGCTCATTGGCCCATCAGAACTTGAAGGGTTGGGCATCAACCAAAAAAGCAACAGGTGCTTCAGGTACTTTGTTGGTGCTAAATGCTTTATCAGATTCACAGTCTTGTTAAATCAAGCGTCATATTTGCACTGGTACCACTGGTACATGAGAATGATACTAAGCTCTAGAGCCTTTCAACTTATGGGCAAATCGACTCATCTAAAAAATGTATCTAGGTGTTCACCAGAGCTTGTTGTGGCTGGGTCTTTCTTAGAAGACTGACTTGGAGGTCTTCTCTGGGGCTCCTCACTGAACCCACTCCCCTCTGATCTCTTTGCACGGCCCGCCTTCAGCTTCTCCTCTACCTTAGTCATTCCTATAACACACACATTCACACAAAGACACACAGTCATGGTAGTAATTAATACTCCCACTGAAAGTATTCAGGGTAAAGTGAGAGATACAAGCAGAGAGGGACAGATGGAGGACAATGCTGAACAAGAGAAAGAGATGAGAAGAAAGTTGATACTGGATATAAAAAAGAAAAAGAGGTACAAAATAAGAGAAGGAGGTTGTTTTGAGATATACTGAATCAGTGACAGGCGGACTGTTAAGAGAGCAAGAGAGAGCAGTGAGTACTGCAAACTGTGGATGAATATTTTGATAGAAGACGATAAGTGGTTTACAGCCGTGTATATGCTGTATGAGTCACTGACCATTTTGAGCATATGAATGAGACAGAAAGTGAGTGAAGACTGGAAAAGCTGTGTGTACGTGGTGTGTGCTGGCTGACTCATTTAGCCGGATATGAAACACCTCTACAGTTAGTACTGTTAAAAAAACAGTAACATTGATTAGCAGCAGTAAGGAACACTCACAATCACTCACATTGCCAATCAGAAGATTTAGTGAAGTTCTTGTGAACGAACCCACCAAGCACAATCCTCACACCTATCTTCATAGGTTCTCCTATGTTTTCCATTATTTAGTGAATCACCAGAGGGAACATGTGGCCAGCTGTATTGTCAATAATCAACAATGAATCAGCCAGCACATGGTAACAATCTCTTTTTATTAATTTATTCACTCGTTATCATCGCACCCACATGAGATTACTCCACACGGTTGTGTGATTATTAAGGGCAAGAGTTCATAAGAAAACACAAAACAATAAGTGTACTGTCCACAACAAGGTGAAGTGAGCGCAATTTCGGTAGTTACCTTTCAATCCAAATGTTCCAGATATAGAAGGCTGCTCTCCAGTGAATTTCTTAGGTGTTTTCTGCTTCCGTCCTGGCACACGGAGCAAGTAATGGTCAAACACATACAGTGCAAGCATATAATGAGAATCTTTGGTCCATTACAAAGGATATGCTGTAATCTTACTGTGCCTCATTCGCTCTGGGTCTTCATCAGGGAAAGAAGGGGGAAGGCTTCCCCCCTCACTTTCACTGCCCCCCGCGTCGGACGACGTGCTTTGAGACTGTGACTGCTGGGACTGAGGCTGGACTGGCTGGGACTGGTGAATCTGCTGCGAAGGCTGACTGTGGCTGTGCTGTTTCTTCTCGCTCCTCTGGTGGGCCAGCTCCCCGTTCTGAGACGGCGTGGACACCTCGTGGGTCTTTTTCACTTTGAAGAACACTGGAGAGGGGGGACTGTTCTCCATGGGCCTGAATTCAAAGACAGAGGGAGGACAATTTTGGGCAGTCAGCATTATGATGTCACTGTATATTACTAACAACATCATGTGGGTGGGAATTTGAGCTCCAGTCACCTTTTCTTGGTGTTGGACTTGACAGGGGTCTTTTGAAGCTTAGGCTGCTCGTCCTTGGGCTCCATACTAACCCTGTCTGGATGGTTCCACAGCTTGTGCTTCTGCAGGCGCACCTTTGTTGCAAACACTGCCTCACAGTAGGGACAGGCGTGACTCAGCTTCTCAGCTACGGTGGCCTGTTACAAAAACAGACATGAGGAGAGGGGTTTTTGAGTGAGAGAAATAAAATGGCAGTGGGTAGCTGTTACTTAATCCCTTCACTTGACTAATCACAGATTATTGAAACAGCCCAACAATCACTAAATATTTGGGGTGTGAGCATTATACAGTTTCTGATTTTACTTTACAGGTAATTTATTACAGACTGCTATGGTCTTTACTGTGATCCACTGTTAAAGTCTACTCTGACGCACAAGGTAGAAATAGCAGGAAAGAACAGAGGTTAGCGACTCACCCCCTGGCAGCGTTGATAGTGGTACTTGACGCCATAGATGCTGGGAAACTCTAACCAGCAGCCTGAACACGGACACTTAACCCTGGAGCGGCGCTTAAACTCTTCCTTCCATTGTACTATCATATGGGCCTGCTCAGGGGTGAGGAAGAGAGAGTTCAATACAAGCAAGGATTATGGCTATACTTTACTGTATATTGTGCATATTCATGAGGAGCTGCCTACCCGATGCAGGGAAAAAACGAAGCCCACTTCAAACACACACTCAGATCAAAGAGAGATACTCACAGGGATGCTTCTCAGTTCCTGCACTTCTGCTTTAGGACGACCTTTCCTCTTCCCCTCTGCTGGCTCATCACACACCGGACCTGGCGAACGAGAGAGAAAAACATTTCTGAGTTTGAACAGATTACTGCCAGTGCTTCACATTGACAGAATAGAACGTTTTAATTGCAAGGGGGTAACGTTACAATCCCGAAGACTAGACACCTTCATACCTGCCATGTTCTTGATCTAAAGCACGACAAGTCGCCTTTGACTTAGCACTTCTAGATATGTTCACAAAGCTCCACAAATATCCAACTTTAGTTAAATACCCTTTTAAATCTCCAAAATCCCTGAATGCGCTCACATATTCCAACTAAACAAGGACATGAGCACATAGGGCGTAAATTCAATTTTATTTATATAGCGCCAAATCACAACAACAGTTATCTCACAGCGCTTTTCATAAAAGAGCAGGTCTAGACCGTACTCTGTGATGATATTTACAGAAGCCCAACAGTTCCCACCAAGAGCAAGCACTAGGCGACAGAGGCAAGGAAAAACTTCCTTTTAAGAGGCAGAAACCTCAAGCAGAACCATGGCTCAGGGTGGGCGGCCATCTGCCTCGACCGGTTGGGGGTGAAGGAGAGAGAGGGGGGGGGGGGGGAGAGCAGGAGAGGGATAGAGAGAAAAAGAGAGGGATGTAAGGAGAGAGAGAGGGGAGGGAGGCAGCCTACACAATATACACACAGAGGTACAGACAGTGAAGGTGATGTTGCTATAGACTAAATGAAAAATGGTACAGATATTTGTAATAGTGTTAATGGTAACAATCGTAATGTTAATGATTATAATAACAATAATAACAATAAGACTAGCAACAATAGTCGTTGCAGCAGAGGGTGTCGAGCAGGAACACGGGGGCAGCAGGTGACCCGCAACCACAGATCCAGACTCCACAGCTCCAGAGCCAGAAAACCTGCAGGAAGTGATAGGAGAGAGGAGAGAGACGAGAAAGCACAAGACTACCAGAAAGGGGAGAAGTTGTGTTAGTAACATGCAATAATGGGATGAGGTTGCATACAGAGGGAGAGAAAGTAGAGGAGAGAGGAGCTCAGTGCATCATGGGAAATCTCCCGGCAGTCTAGGCCTATAGCAGCATAACTAAGGGATGGTTCAGGACTCACCTGAGCCAGCCCTAACTATAAGCTTTATCAAAGTGGAAAGTCTTAAGCCTACTCTTAAATGTGGAGATGGTGTCTGCCTCCTGAACCCAAACTGGAACCTGGTTCCACAGGAGAGGAGCTTGATAGCTGAACGCTCTGGCTCCTAGTCTACTTTTGGAGACTCTAGGAACCACAAGTGACCCTGCATTCTGGGAGCGCAGTGCTCTGGTGGGGTAGTAAGGTACTATGAGCTCTTTAAGATAAGATGGTGCCTGACCATTAAGAGCTTTGTAGGTAAGAAGAATGATTTTAAATTATATTCTGGATTTTACTGGAAGCCAATGCAAAGAAGCTAAAACAGGAGAAATGTGATCTCCTTTCCTGGTTCCTGTCAGAACACGTGCTGCAGCATTCTGGATCAGCTGAAGAGTCTTAATGGACTTTTTCGAGCAGCCTGATAATAAGGAATTGCAGTAATCCAGCCTAGAAGTAACAAATGCATGGACTAGTTTTTCTGCATCATTTTTAGACAGGATGTTCCTGATTTTCGCAATATTACGTAGGTGAAAAAAGGCGGTCCTTGAAATTTGCTTAATGTGAGACTTAAACGACATGTCCTGATCAAAGATAACTCCAAGATTCCTCACAGTGGTGCTGGAGGCCAGGGCGATGCCATCCAGGGAAACTATATCTTTAGATAATGCGTCACGGAGGTGCTTAGGCCCCAGAACAATAACTTCAGTTTTATCTGAGTTTAACATGAGAAAATTACAGGTCATCCAGGTTTTAACATCCTGAAGGCACATTTGAAGTTTAGCTAACTGATGAGTTTCATCTGGCTTGATCGATAGATATAACTGAGTATCATCTGCATAACAATGAAACCTTATGGAATGTTTCCTGATAATATTGCCTAAAGGAAGCATATATAAAGAGGATTGGTCCGAGGACAGATCCTTGAGGAACTCCATGACTAACTTTGGAATGCATGGAGGACTCATCGTTAACATGTACAAACTGAAATCGAACTGATAAATAGGACTTAAACCAGCTTAGAGCGGTTCCTTTAATGCCAATGAAATATTCCAGTCTCTGCAATAGGATCTGATGGTCAATGGTATCAAATGCAGCACTAAGATCTAATAAAACCAGCACAGAGACAAGTCCTTTGTCTGATGCAATAAGGAGGTCGTTAGTAATTTTCACCAGTGCTGTCTCTGTGCTATGATGAGCTCTAAATCTTGACTGAAAATCCTCAAATAAACTATTGCTCTGTAGAAAGTCACACAGCTGTTTAGCAACTGCTTTCTCCAGAACCTTAGAGAGAAATGGAAGGTTAGATATAGGTCTATAGTTGGCTAAAACATCCGGATCAAGTTTGGGCTTTTTCAGAAGAGGTTTAATTACAGCTACTTTAAAGTACTGTGGTACATAGCCTGTTGATAAACATAGATTGATCATATCTAGTATAGAGGTGCTGACTAAGGGTAAAACATCTTTAAGCAGCCTAGTCGGGATGGGGTCTAAGAGGCAGGTTGATGGTTTAGATGAAGAAATTATTGAAGTTAGTTGGTAAAGATTGAGGGAAGCAAAACAGTCTAAACATGTATCTGGTTCTACAGCTGTTTCTAAGGTTCCTGAGTTAAGAGATAAGTCGGTGCCAGTTGAGGGCAGGTCTTGGTGAATTTTGTCTCTAATAGCTAGAATTTTATCATTAAAGAAGCTCATAAAATCGTAACTACTTAAATGAATATATATACATAGAAATAAATATAGATTTAGATATGGATGTACACACACATACAGCTATGGTGGTGGGTTTGAATAGTGAGAAGTAAGGGATTGTCAGAGAAAGAGGAAGAGAGAGTGCATGTGTGAATGGGTGTGTGTGCCTGAGAGAGAGAGAGAGAGACAGAGAAAGAGGGCACACTCGGTAAAGGCCTTCTGGTGAGCCAAACAGATCAGCTATAAATCGCTAATGCCAGTGTGAACCTCTGACACAGCACACAGCAGAGCAACTGCCTCAGCTCCCTCTCTCTTTCCTCCCCCCAACTCTCATGCTGCTGCCGCTTTTTCTCTTTTCTCTCACCCCGTGTCTAGCTTCCTCACTTTCCTTTCCTTTTCCCTTCCCCCACACCCTTCCCGATCTTTCTCCACTTGAACTTCACAGGACAGACAGCTCATTACTTCTCTTGTCTCTGCTACAATTAGACCTCCGCACTGTACTTTATTTCTTCTACAGAGTGTTACTTGAGAGAGGGAGGGAAAATGGAGAGAGCTGAGGATGAGTTTATGCATATGGTAACAAAGGGGGGAGAGCAGAGGATGCTGAGGGAGAGAAGAGAGAATTGCAGAGGCGAATGGCATCTTCCTCTGACCAAGCAGAATACTGAATGACAGTGCTGCAGGTAGGAGCTGAGGCTGTACTCCACTCTTCAGAATGATATATATCTTTACATGTGCTCTCAACTCCCCTGCATTGATCTGGCAAGACCGGAGAGCGGCAGCAGAAACAAGCCGAGCAGGAGGCAGGCTAGAGCCTATTCAGTCATATCAGATCTAGAAAATGTCAAAGGAAACTACTTGAAGCAGAGATGATAGTCCTTTATTGTGAAGTGGGATGCAGCAGTGGTCTTGCATTGACTTTCTTTTGAGCCTGTTCCACTTCCCCACGCTGAGGAACATGACACCGCCAACCCGCTTTCTTCTCCCGCAAACGTATTGACAAACAGCGACAGGATGTGCACGTGCCTAGCACATCCCATTTGTGGCGGGACCAGAGCACTCTGTGTGCCTACCAGGATTATAAAAATGGTTGGAGGATTTTTCATCAGATAAATGAACTCCCTGCCATCGTTGCTCACACAAAAACCGGACAGTCATCATGTTTCGTTCAACCCAAAAAAAACACATCTCTCTATGTCTGTGATGGTGATGTATATAAAAACACACTACAGGCCTAACCTATCATGACCGCCCCTTCTCATTTCATTTTGTGTTTCATTACACAGTATCAACTTTCTCTTTTCCCCTCATTTGTCTTATTTTTGCTTCTCACTCAAGCACAGACACAAATGCGGGCTGACGGATTATATGTAATCTTTTACTTCAGACTCGCAATAATAAGCTAGGAAGAAAATAAGGCGAGGCTGAATAAGATTGAATGAGAAGTAGCACAGCATTGCTGTGAACAGTTCCTGACACAAGGTGTAAACACACGCATAAAAGCGCACACTGATACATGCAAACAAGCACACAAAACCATTACCAGTGTGTGTGAGTGTAATGTGTGTGCATAGATATGAGTGTATTAATATTCTCCAGGCGACAGAGCATTTCTCTATTAGCTGTCTGGGTAGCAGCTGGAGAGGTGATGCAGTCGGCGGTACAGCTCTTATGCCGAAGAGGAAATTGAGCATGCATTCTAATTCCTGTCTTAGAAAATAAAGGTCCTGTAAAAGAAAGGCATAATTAATGTATTCTACTCTTGGGAAAGATTTGTTCTTGTTGCTATGGGAATAAGACCCACTTGTCTTAGTTACCACTATCAGAGGCCTCTTTCCAGCAAGCAGAACAATTAGGCCCACATATAGAAGTCTACAATGCAAAAAAACACACACAGGCCAGAGCAGCACAGGTGCTAACTTACTGTAAAAGTGAACTATACAAACAGCAGACTTGTCTTTCCTGGGGTGAAATATGCAAACACATTAAAATGTGTTCAGCATCTTTTACTTTGCTTTGCTTGTTTGAGTATGAGTAGCACACTCTAGCGCTCAAACGTTCCAGCAATCACAACCATTGTCTTGGAATGAAACAAAGCAGGCCCATTGTGTCAAATCTAAAGCCCCGGTTCTCAGGCACAGGCCATGGGGATAAAACAGCTGTTCAACTAATGTCAGAGTATGACTCGCTCCCAGCTGTCTGCAACTGTTGCT